GGCGTGATAACAATCTCCCTAAGAAATTATTTGCCCCACAATGTTGCTAATGTTTGCCGGCAAAATTCTCCATGGGTACAACAAAGTCTTGAATGAGAATACCAGATAGCAATTCCGGTATTTCTCTAGGATCTCTCAAAGGAAACAATTGGAAACTATGGCAGTATATCTTTAGAAAGAAAATGAAATTGGAAGGAGAAGATTATTATTGACTAGACAAGTTCAGTGAACAATAGTTAAAAACAAAAAATTATATTCGAACAGACATAACCTTTCAAATATTAAAAAATTATGTTTGAACAAATACGAACACTGAGATAACTGCTAGCCGAAGTAATAAAATTCGGAATTAAAAAATTAAAAAACTACTGTTGCTCCTTTGTGAACAGTTGCACTGTTTCAATAGGACACTATAGTTAATTTTTCATAATTATAAATCTGAATTTTAGTAAATAAAAAATAATGATTGTTGGTTAGTGCCAAATCTTGTCCACGTGCGCACTCACATCACAAGGCAGCTCTTAGTTTGTTTTTTACAAACGAACTAACCAACATGTTGTGGATCCCAAGTAGCCTCATTACAGAAGCTAATCTAATCTTGAAGGTATCCATAAAAAGGTTCCCGTCAAAACCCCGTCCTCTATTCATTTCTCTTTTGAGGAAAAGTTTGAAGAAAGATTGGAAGAGATAATTTAGGAGGAAATAATTTTCAATGTGAATATTCAATCATGCAACGAAATTAAATAGGAAAAGATATAAAGCCAGCATTTTATGGCATTACCCACAACTACATCATAATCCTAGCAAAATTCTCGCCCTATGGTCATCACTTTTTTTTCTTTTATAATGGCAACCATCGAACTCTAGCTAGTGAACCGCCCCCAAAAAAAAGAAGCAAAAACAGCATCTTGAATTATTGATGAAAACGCGCATGGGGTAAGATGCTTCCTAAGGTTATGCTAATTAAGCAACTTTAATGACCTTAATGTTCGATCAAGTTAGAAACTTTCTTACACGGATTAGATGAGAATCGATTCCTATTTGTGGTTCAATTTGCCAAGTTGGTTCCCATAAAGAAGCTGCATCAATTGGAAATGCCGGATAAAGATGAAAGATCTTCACACCATGGTCATAAGGAAGATCCGCGCGGATAACCCACTAATTAGTGTGTTGTATCTATTAAATTGAATCTAGTTATCAATATAATGAGACGCACATAGGCTCCACATGAGACCCACCAACTATCTTCAATTTAGTATGTACCCTCCACTCACTGAATACTTACTGGACTAGCTTCTTTGCCTTCATCACAAAATAAGGCAATATTTAGCTAAACATCCTAAGTCTTCTTGGTATGAATCTAGAATAAATACCAACTCTTTTTGTCACACCCCCAACTCTAAAGTATAGGGGCAATAACACAGCCGTCCTTCTTCCAAAGGATGCAGCCTCAAACATGATTATAACTCGACATGTTATCAAAATATATACATCTATGAATATTTGATAAAAGAGTCATCCGGTTACAATATCAAAGTTTCTATATTCCATAAATAAATAAATAAAAATCATCTTCAACTAACCACCAAACTCATAAGTTTATTTCAGCCATAAATAACTCATACCCAAAAATCCCACTATCCAAAATGTCCTCCTAATAACAATAACACTCTCATCTCACTTGCAGCTTGTTGTAGAACTTGAAAAGCAAGTAAGATGAATGGAAAAAGCAACCACGGCCTAGTGAGCAATATATCTCTTCTAAAAAGGTCGAACATTCACTATGTATCTTCATAAACCGATATCATAACTCACTAATTCCAAATCCAGCATATAATATACGTAAAATATCATAAGCAAATTATATCTTTCCAACAAAATCTTTTATGTATAAGATCAATCAATAATATCAACCAACCATGGTTTATTCTATTGATTACTCTCAATCAAATCAACATAAATGGTCCATTTCATTGACTGATCTATTACTCAATATCTAACTATGGTCACGCTTAACGCCCGAGACAGAGGCGACCAAGTTTTTCCCCCTGGCTAAGTCTCCACTTATATCAGCCGGTGGTTTAGGCCAGAAGAACGTTTGATAAGAGTATGCATACTTACCCACTCAATAGGTTCTAATCATAGCAACATGAGCATAATCCACCGATATCATTCTCCAATAATCCACAAAACAAATCCATAATTCACCTTATAAATTGATTTCACTAGTCGAATCATATAACCTTTCACAATTTCATTTATCAAATAGAATGTGTTTCATAAAACATTTCACAAATCAATACATATAGCTTTTGACAATTCCCTTCCCAAAGCATTTAATCAAAACATTCACAAATGAACATTTCAAACCATTTTGAATAAGGCTTTCCAATGCCTTTTCAACCAACTAAAAAGGTTGTAAAAGTTCGATCCGATTTATGCAAGAAATATGCTATTTTCATAACTCGTTCTATATTAAATCTCTAAAACTTTCAAGATATGAGTTTTTAAATTCATAAAAGAGATGATTACTCAAGCCGACGCACTCGTATTCCTATCAATTAAACAAAAAACTATTTCAAAAATCGAGTAATACACTACTCTAATGAATGACTCGACTAAACTATGTACGCTTAATCGTCGATAATACGACTTGTATACGCTAACGAAGAAACTCGTTTATAGTGCTAATGAAGAAACTCATTTATTGTAAATATTCATCTATGTCCGTTACACATTATCCGTTACGCGTAACTCGTATGTGAAACTTTAGAAATTCATTCCGATCAAACTGTACTTCAGAATCGATTTTCGTCAAACCCTACACTCAATAACTCCTTAATCGTACCTCGTAGTTCAAAATTGACATAACTTTGGATTATGACCTAACTTCAAAAATTACTCCGATAAGACGAAAAATAGGCTTGAATACTTACCAGGCATTGCAATTCAAAGTTAATTCGGCTTGTCGGGTTGTCTGAATCATGTACGCGCGAAAATTTTCTCTCTTTACCCTTTTCCTCTTTTCTCTTCGTCATGGACGAGCTCCCTTCCTTGTTCCTTGTTTTGTCCGCCTCTGGTCTTGCTTCTTCGACGCTTGCGTGGAAGCTGTTGAAGGAAACTGGCGCGTGTATTAATGGGCTGAGGCCAATTTGCTGGGCTTGAGCTTTTTATTACACTTTTCCTTGCTGAAAGAGAAAATGAAGGAATTTCCATAGTTCACGTTCAGGCACTTGAATATGTTCCTCTTAGTACAAAAAGAGAACCTCGTTATCACGCGAATGTGAATCAAATTACAGATTGAACTGACCTCCATAAATATGTTGGTGTAATTAAAACCTGTATATATGCAAGGTTCGGTAGCTTTTAAACTCATTCATTTTAATCAATTCTCAAGAAGGAAGGGTTTCACAACTTCTCCTTCAAGAAAAATGTGGCAAATTGTAGTAGCAGTAATTTTTGGAGAAGTCTTGCGCATAATTAGAAAAAAGGAAGAGGAAGAAGAACAGCTCCGAAGATAAAGGGAAAACCAGCTTCGCCAGCTGGGAATAGGTGAGGACATGCCGGAGCAGCTTGCCATGGGGGCCATGAGTTCGATACATCTAGAGACAATGCGTAATGGAATCAGATCTTGCATCAAACGCCCGAGCAAGTCCGATGGTCCATATTATAAAGGCGTATTTGTCACGTATGCTCATTTTCTATTGTAATATACTCTCCTGCCCTTAAATAAAGGTTCTTAAACTGGGCTAATTTGAGTTCTGCTCATTGATTGTGATACTTCATCACAAACTCATTACCTCGTACAAATGATAGAGAGACGTGGTCCTTGATGAATAAGGTAGAACGACCAAATATAGCTGAAGAGCGTATCACAAAATAATAGAACATCAAATAATTTAATCATTTTTTAAGCTATATTATAATAATTTTAATGCAGAATAATATAGTTTTTTTTTTCCATAATCTTAGCTCCATCAAAATATTTGGCACAATCGGTGAACTAAAATATAGAGAAAATTCTCGGATAATGTTAGTTTGTTCACAAATAATGCGCATTGGTCTTTGGTGTACATGACGAACCCAATAGTTTCAAGCTTATTGAGAATGAAATTGCAGTTTTCCCACCCTTTACCAACATAATTATCTCGACAGTCTACTGAAGTACCTTTTACTTATCTTAATCCAAGTCTAGTAGCTTCCCAGTTTGACTAAGTAAAGTCGGGCTTCCACGTTGAGTTCATTTGATAAGATCGGCGGCAATGGCACCCGATTTCTACAACTTTAAAAGTTGGGATTGTACAAATTACAAATTTGAAGATCCCCATTAAAAAGTTATGAGCTCAAAACTATTAGAATCTGTCTAATCGTGTTTTTTCTTTTGTATTAAAAAGTAAGTCTAAGTACATATCAATGTCGAATATCTATTATCCCTATTTTGTCACCTAATATAACATGAAACAACTGTCGAGGAGGCTATAGATAAAACTGAATATCCAATTGCTTAATAATTCCATGATTAGTGGGGCGATCAGCAAGATGATTTCCATCCCAAAAGTTATATTGCGGTTTAAACTCAAAGTGAGAACTCAACGGTCTTTTGATACCTTTGAGTGATGCAAGGCCAGCAGAATCCAGCAAAAGCTCATGACTAATGAGTTCGGTGATGGCTTTAGCGTCCATTTCAATAATCTTTGCGGTAACCAAGTTGTTTTGCATAATGGAGTCTTAACCCACAGTCTTAACCCAAGATCCAGATCCCCTCCAACTTTCATTTTCCCCTACAGTCGCTTTCGCTCTGCGAGCCAAGGTCTCGACTTTCGTCCAAAAGATCTCGCTTTTTCTCTTCAATTTTCTTTGGGATTTTCTCATTTTTGCTTTTTGGATGAAATAATGGGTTCGCCTATAGCCGGATTCTCCATATTCACCATCATTCAATGTTCTCTCTCTCTGTCTCTCTCTCTGTCTCTCTCTCTGAACACAATTAGAAGGCCCAAGATCCAGATCGCCTTCCGCCTTCGCGTCCCCTCTGCTACTGCTGTCGCTTTCGCTCTGCGAGAGCCAAAGGTCGCGACTTTCGTCCGAAAGATCTCGCCTTTCCTCTTCATTTTCTTGTGGGTTCTTTTCTTTTTCGGCTTTGGATGAAACGATGGGTGCCCCTGTAGCTGGATTCTCCATCATCCCCATCATCAGAGTGATCGGAGTCACCGTCACGGCTCTGGTGCTCATCTGGGCGGTGCGCTACCGGGGTGGCCTGGCGCTCGTCTCCGACAGGAAGGATCTTATCTTCAATGTAATTTCTCCCTCTCTCTCTCTCTGGTCGTGTGATGATTGTTTGAGGCATTTCGTTGGTTTAGCGAATGTGGGTTGCGTTGGTTGTTTTGTTTCGAGTGAGAATGGATTTTTGTCTGAAGCAGTGGTGGCTTTTGTTGGGGGTGGTACATTCCGTGTCGTGATTTGACTCGGCTTCGAGGGTCGTGTGGTTAATCTGATCAATATCTCGTGACTTGCCCTGAAAAGGAACAGAATTGTTAATGTTTAGTGTGGCTTCACATTTATTCTCTTTTAGATTCTTAGTATTGGTGATAATGCGCCTCATGCAGCTTTGGTGTTTGTTGTTTTGCGCCTTCTGATTCGTGCTGCTGCTTTTACATAGGTCCACCCTGTTCTAATGGTGTTCGGACTCATACTTCTCAATGGTGAAGGTGGGTGCACTTCCTTTCTCTGTGAACTAGCATTACACGTAGGTTTAGTTGTGGCAATTTTCTGGCATCATGACAAAAATTTCCATTTTCTCCAAGTTATTTGATAATATAAGCGTCATATTCGCGGGTTTTTTAATTTTATCACCGTTTGTTTTTTACTCCATTGGGGGAAAATGATCTTTTTGGATGAATAATCTCTCCGAAGATATCTGATCAATTGATCATTAGAAGTAATCTCTCCGGCTCTGTTATAGGAGCTTGTCCTTGGTGGTTCATGGATTTATCTTATTCGAAGAAAGTTCACTCGTAGTTGCTTCAACATACCGCGATAAATTTTAATTGAGTATTTAAATAAACTAGACTGATGCAATAGGATTAATTTTGTCTAGGCGTACCGGTTGTCTTTCACTGCATTACTTGGTAAATAATTTTAAGTGTAGTTGTTTTCTATCATTGATTGGGCAAGTGAAGATTTTCTTTGATGGGGGAAAAGAAGACTATCGACCGATCTTGATGCCGGTATAATTCATATCATCTCGTCAATTCGGGTGGGCTCTCGTGTCAAACGGTGCAAGCAGCTTGCAATGACTTTGGACTTTGGAGTCCATTGATTTTGCTTTTGTAGTTGATGAAAATGACGACGCTGATGGACCGGAGTCAATTTGCTTTGAGCTCCAATAAACCCTTTTGCCAGGGAAAGCTAATATAAATTTACTGGCGCCTGAAAGATTATCGTCTCGCCTTAGGCTCTGTTAAAGTGGACAGAATTAACGAAGTAAACCTCCCACAGCATGAGGAAGGTTTTGCGTTTCCTTGTGGCGTGCGCTCTCTTCATTTACGTCGCTCCTCTCTTTGCACCTTCCATCGCAGCTCAACTAGCAGCTCAACCAAAGGTTCAAAAAGGTGAATTCAGTCTACTTTTCCGCGGCGTCTTCCTTCTCTTATTTAGTCACTCGTAATGACCAGCACATTGGGCTTTTTCTATGTCCCTTCGCGGCACGCACCATTTTGTGTATCAATTCCGAACACAGCATTAAGAAAGATGAATCAACAGGTGTTGTAGGATGCTGCTCATTGCCACTAGTCACCCACGTAACACTGGGGTGTCCCGAGGACCTGAAAGCGAGCTGTAGCGACAGGGTCTGCATAATACCCACGCGTCAGTGCGACCGTGCATGGCCATGAGATTGAGAAGGCGATTTAGATAAAAGATGTACTCGGTGATATCTTACATGCATTTATCGAGACAATCCGATCTATATATGCACGTGCTATAAGCCTTGATCAATTTGATATATTTGGTGTATGGTTACCAGTTAGATCACAACATGATATGTGTTCACCACATGTTTCTTATTTGTATTTATAAATGAAAATTGACGATCTAGCACGACAGCATATATTCAATCTCTTCAAAGTGCTGGCAAGAGGATATTTAGACCTCTGCTCATATATATATGGATTGTGGCCACTGGCCAAGTATATATGTTATGATATGGTAAATGAGAACAACATATAAGACGACATATTATTAAGCAAGAAAAGTTTCTTTCCTTTGTTGCATTAGTTACATTGACGTAGTATAATTAATCGAGTCTCGCTAACAAGTGTCTCCAAGGGACTAACTAAATGAATTTAAACCGAAAATAACACTTTTCTTAAGATGTTGAAATTTGAAGTGCACACCATAAGAAAGTCACTAAAACTAAGTGAAAAAGTTTTACATTTTCAAAGAAAATTTAGTAATACTTAATAAGTGTCTTTGGAGCACTCTTAAAAATGCTTTCAATTGCGTTTAGATCCTATTAACGACTTGACCACGGCCACCTGTTAACTACCAATATAAAAGAAGCTCTACATTTTTCAGTGCATTGGCTACTTGTCCTATTTATAATCGATATTTTGAAAAATTAATCAATTCTATTTTTTAGTATGATCTCATATGTATTCCGACTTTCAAAACACCGATTCGCACAGAATACAAGAAAAGGCATTGCATTGAAAATCGTAAATTGTACTTATTTAGTTGCTTAACAGAAAACTGGAGGCACTTTTTAATAAAAATCCTTTTTGTAATATACTACAAGTGCTCTAAATCCACTTGTTAACGGGAAGCATTATACAAAAGAAATTTATAGGGTTCACCAATACTTCACGCCAGACTTTCTTGCCTTAAGTCGACCCTCTTGAGTAGAAAAATCCTACCTTCATTCTTTCAACAATATCAATTAGAATTTTGTTCATTGAATGAGATTTTGTAGAAAATTATTTGATGTGTGTAATATGTACTGGACTGAATCTAGATCATCACATCTAACGAGACTCACGTTGGTCGCACATGAGACCCATCGACGATCTAAATTTAAATTAGTACGTATACTACGCTCATTGATGTATTACTTCTTGGCCTTTCATCACTATATCAGGCAATATGTAACTAAACATCCTAATTCTTCTTGGTATGAACATGAAGTGGGTACTACTTCTTTTCCTTGGTGAAAGAGAACGTTAGGGAATTTCCGTTGATGCTATTGGACCGGCATTTGAATATGTCCTCTAGTACAAAAACTCATTACACGCCCTCATAGTTATCGATTGGGAATACTCCGTCCATAAACTCGTTACCTCGCACAAATGATGAGAGACACGGCCCGTGGCGAATAAAGTTAAAGGACCAAATATAGTTGAATCGGGGTGTCACCAAATAATTCAATCGCTCTTTCAACATGGACGATAACTCAATGCAGAATTATCATGAATTTCTTACCATAAACTTATCTCCGTCGAAACATCCGGCACCATCAATGGCCTCTAATGTAAGCAAAACCGGGAGGAAATTCTTGGATCGCCGTCGGTTTTGTTCACGAGCAATTTGCGTTGATCAATGTAATCATCTCAAGAGCCTACTTGACTTGCCAACCTAGAAAGTTCCCTCGAAGTGGCTTCACGGCATGCCGCGGTTAATTTCAATCGAGTGTTCAGATAAACTAAACGGATGCAATAGGATTAATTTTGTCTAAGCATGTTCCGGTTGTCTTTCACTAAATTACTTGGTAAATAATTTTTAAGTACGGTTGTGTTGTATCATTGATTGGGCGAGTGAAGATTTTCTTTCATGGGGGGGGAAAAAGAAGACTATCGACCGATCTTCATGCCGGTCTTATTCATATCATCTCGTGTCAATTCCGGTGGACTCTCGTGTCAAACGGTGCAAGCGGCTTGCCATGACTTTGGACTTTGGAGTCAATTGATTTTGCTGTAATAGTTGATGATGATGATGATGATGGTGATGATGATGGACTAGAGTCAATTTGCTTTGAGCTCCGATAAACCCTTTGCCATGGAAAGCTAATATAAATTATATCGTTTCGCTCTAGGCTATGTTAAAGTGGTCAGAATTAATGAAGTAAACCTTCCACAACATGAGGAACGATTTGCGTTTCCTCGTGGCGTGCGCTCTCTTCCTTTCCGTCGCTCCTCTCTTTTCACCGTCCACCGAGGCTCGACGAGCGGCTCAACCAACGGTTCAAAAAGGTGAATTCACTCTATTTTTCTGGCGTCTTTGCTTCTCTTCTTTCGTCGCTCGTAATGGCGCGCACATTGGGCTTTTTCTATGCCCCTTCGAGGCACGCACCACTTACTTTGTGTATCAATTCCGAACACAACATTAAGAAAGGCGAATCAACAGGTAACGTGAAATGCTGTTCGATGCCACCGGTGCAGCCATTCCTCTTTATTGCATCATTGGGGTGTCCCGAGAACCTGAAACCGAGCTGTAGCGGAGGAGTTTGCATTGAAACTACGCCTAAGTGTGACCATGTAGGGCCATGAGATTAACAAGGCCATTTAAATAAAAGATGTACTCGGTGACATCTTACATGCATTTATCTATACACTCCGATCTATATAAGACGTGCTATGGGCCTTGATCAATTTGATATATTTGGTGTATGGTTATCAATTAGATCACACAACATGATATGTGTATGCCACATGTTTCTTATTTGTACCTATGTATGAAAATTGACAATCATCCTGATAAGTGTTATTGAACCGGGTTAATTTGAGTTTGGCTTATCGATTGGGAACACTTGGTCCATAAACTCATTACCTCGTACAAATGATGACAGACATGGCCCATGGCAAATAAGGTAAAACGACTGAATATAATTGAACCGAGACATCACCAAATAAAAGAGCACCAAATAATTCGATCACTCTTTCAACATGGACGATAACTCAATGCAGAATAATCATGAATTTCTTGCCATAAACTTAGCTCCGTCGTGGCGTGATCAATGGACTTTAATGTGAGCAAAACCGGCAGGAAATTCTTGGACCGCCGTCGGTTTTGTTCACGAGCAATTTGCGTTGATCAAATGTAATTATCTCGAGAGTCTACTTGACTTGCCAACCTAAAGATGGATTTGACTTTTTCTATTGGCCTAGAAGATGGTTTGACTAATTACTCCACAAAAACAAAAAAAGGAAAAAAAAATTCATCCACTTCTCATCTGAAGTGAAAGGAAGCCCAAAGATCCAGATCGCCTTCCGCCTTCGCTTCCCCTCTGCCACTGCCGTCGCTTTCGCTCGGCGAGAGCCGAAGGTCGCGACTTTCGTCCGAAAGATCTCGCCTTTCCTCTTCATTTTCTTGTGGGTTCTTTTCTTTTTCGGCTTTGGATGAAACGATGGGTGCCCCTGTAGCTGGATTCTCCATCATCCCCATCATCAGAGTGATCGGAGTCACCGTCACGGCTCTGGTGCTCATCTGGGCGGTGCGCTACCGGGGTGGCCTGGCGCTCGTCTCCGACAGGAAGGATCTTATCTTCAATGTAATTTCTCCCTCTCTCTCTCTGGTCGTGTGATGATTGTTTGAGGCATTTCGTTGGTTTAGCGAATGTGGGTTGCGTTGGTAGTTTTGTTTCGAGTGAGAATGGATTTTTGTCTGAAGCAGTGGTGGCTTTTGTTGGGGGTGGTACATTCCGTGTCGTGATTTGACTCGGCTTCGAGGGTCGTGTGGTTAATCTGATCAATATCTCGTGACTTGCCCTGAAAAGGAAGAGACTTGTTAATGTTTAGTGTGGCTTCACATTTATTCTCTTTTAGATTCTTAGTATTGG